TTTAGTGCTCAATGTGTGCTGCCAGTATGTGATAAAAAATAACGAAATTTAAATTTTTGTTTTGTTTTGAGAGTTTTTGAGATGTTTTCAACTCTGTCACTTGCTCAGACTGTCATACTAGCAGTTTATATTGATAAAAAATTTAAAAAATTAAAATTGCGTTATTTTTTATCACATACTGGCAGCACTCATTGGGCACTAAATTATTAACCGTTGACTATCATAGATCTTCGATCCAGAGTGATGTGTTCAACCATGTCACTTGCTCAGACTGTCAAACTAGCAGTTTTTATTAATAAAAAATAAAAAAATCCAAATGTTTTATCACATACTAGCAGCACTCATTGAGCACTAAATTATTAACCGTTGATTATCATAGATCTTCGATCCAGAGCGATGTATTCAACCCGGTGACTTGCTCAGACTATCATACTAGCTAGCAGTTTTTATTGTTAAAATTAAAAAAAAAACCTAATTTTTTAACACATACTGGCAGCACTCATTGAGCACTAAATTATTAACCGTTGATTATCATAGATCTTCGATCCAGAGTGATGTATTCAACCCTGTCACTTGCTCAGACTGTCAAACTAGCAGTTTATATTGATAAAAAATTAAAAAAAATAAAATTTCCTAATTTTTTATCACATACTGGCAGCACTCATTGAGCACCAAATTATTAACCGTTGACTATCATAAATCTTCGATCCAGAGTGTTGTATTCAACCCGGTCACTTGCTCAGACTGTCATACTAGCAGTTAATATTGATAAAAAATTAAAAAAAAAACCTAATTTTTTATCACATACTGGCAGCACTCATTGAGCACTAATTTATTAACCGTTGATTATCATAGATCTTCGATCCAGAGTGATGTATTCAACCCAGTCACTGGCTCAGACTGTCATACTAGCAGTTTATATTGATAAAAAATTAAAAAAAAAACCTAATTTTTTATCACATACTGGCAGCACTCATTGAGCACTAAATTATTAACCGTTGATTATCATAGATCTTCGATCCAGAGTGATGTATTCAACCCTCTCACTTGCTCAGACTGTCAAACTAGCAGTTTATATTGATAAAAAAATAAAAAAAATAAAATTTCCTAATTTTTTATCACATACTGGCAGCACTCATTGAGCACTAAATTATTAACCGTTGATTATCATAGATCTTCGATCCAGAGTGATGTATTCGAACCGGTCACTTGCTCAGACTGTCATACTAGCAGTTTTTATTGATAAAAAATAAAATATTTTTTATTTTCCAAAATTTTCATCAGATACTGCCAGCACTCATTAAGCACTAAATTCCCTATGCATTGCTTTAGTTCTATACCGTGTTAATATAGGCGTTTCAGGGAATACACTGCTAGCTTAATTAAAAGCTGGCAGTGTTCTAATTTTTCGCTAAACTATGAAAGCATTAAATTTCCGGTTTTGGCACTAAATTAGCACTAAACGTGCACTAATTGATGCACTTTATTTTAAACGATTCTGCTCACTTTGCCATGCTAGCTTAACAGCCGTAAAATAATGGAGCTGTGCCTGTCAACATGGTACTATATAACAGGTTCAAATACTATATCAATTTTAATAGTTACTTACAAAACAAAACTTGTAAAAAATAAATAATTACAAACGCAGTAAAACAACATCAATGTCATCGTTACAAATTCAGCGTCAAAATGTTAAACATGAAAGCATAATAACTCTCACAACGCTAACTTAATTTCCAGTTTTCACAATCCTCATGCAACATGAGTACAGTCATTTTGCATATTTCGCGCAACGCGGTCCTATAATTTCCATGACAAAGCAATTGGAATTAACATAATATTTGTTTGTAGTGCCTGAAACTCACTACAGTAATTCATCGAGCCTTTACCTTACGTTTCTATAGCAATCAAGTAGCAATAACGTTAAGTACGAAGTTACGTGATCTTATTTCCGTACACACTTCTGCCAAAATGAGAAGTGGATTAGTGGCCATTTGCGATCGGCAGCGATAAACCCCGTTACAGTTCGAGTCCGTGACCTTGGTACGGGTTGCTCAGTTACACGCGACTTTAGGCCCTACTACAAGTTTTTACTAGTTTTTCACCATAGCGGAGATTTTAGCTAGTCTGATTTGACGTCAACGTTGTCTATGAAATTTCATTCGATGTACTTTATTATTCGATTTGACGACCTCCGTGGCCGAGTGGTTTGTACGCCGGGTTTCATGGTGTCGCCGACTCGAGAGGTCCCGGGTTCGAATCCCGGTGGGGGCAGATGTTTGTGTGATGAACACGAGCATTTGTACTCCAGTCATTTATGTTAAATATGTATTTATATAAAACTATGCTTACATATGTATAGTATATGTATTCTATCCGTTACCCTAGTATCCCATAACACAAGCCTTACAGTACTTACTTTGGGGCTGTGTTGGAAATATTTATTTTATTTTATTTATTTTATGTACTACACAGCTATCTAGGAAGGAATTACAGATACCTACCGATTTCATTTACTTCATGTTTATGAGTAGATTATTACAAGTATATATATATATATATATATATATATAAAACTCAAAGGTGACTGACTGACTGACATAGTGATCTATCAACGCACAGCCCAAACCACTGGACGGATCGGGCTGAAATTTGGCATGCAGGTAGATGTTATGACGTAGGCATCCGCTAAGAAAGGGTTTTGATCAATTCTACCCCCACGGGGATAAAATAGGGAATGAAAGTTTATATGAAACTTTGTCAATTTTAAACCGGTCGGGCTGAGACTTTGCATGCAGGTATAAGAAGAATCATAGATGAATGTCATTGTGTATAATACAAGCCTGAGAGCAAAAACTGTAGTCTACACTACAGCTCTATACCGAAGCAAAGCGAGGGCGGGCCGCTAGTAATACAATATGATTATACATTATTTGTATAAACAGAATTTAACCTGGGTACTAACCTACTCAAATTACCTTATCCATAATAAATTAGCTTTAACAGAAAATATTACAAGAATAAAAATACCTTTCCAGCTGTTCATTTCTAAGTTACATTTTTTGACCATTCTTGATCTGAAACATTAATGACGCAGGGTGCTATAATAAAAATGCGTAACAAAACAAGTATTTATTATGCGAAGCCTCTGAAGTTCACTAAGTTTTTATCAAGACATTTGATTCTTTCGTGAAAGGGTTGAATCAAGACCTTCATTGCTTGTTATTTTATTTTCCTCTTAGAATAAAACTTCGTCTCACAACAATTTTCAGAAAAACAATGCTGTAATGGATTCTTTGTTTAATATAAAATGTTTGCATTCTTAGAACAGTAGTAGCGCCATCCATTAAAGGTATTAAAAAGTCAACCTTGCCCCCAGTTGGGGCATCATAATGGCAATGCACGGGGTGAGACTGATTAATATTGAAATTTCGCCCACTGGGAATTTCAGTTCTGGAAGTTCAGTTAGGCCTTCAAAGATAAAACTGCATGAAATGGAAATAGAAGTTTGGCAATAGGATTAAATCGTTGGAGAAGTATTTACAAAAATCATCACTTAGGTACATTTACCATTGGAAGTTGTACATGCGCAAAACGTCTTTACTATCACTACTTCCAATGTTTTATCCGTCTTCCTATTATACGATTTTGCCCACTATCGAGCTGTTGTGAACATTTCCGTTTTCAAGACAAGTCGGGCCAAGCACAATAGTCACATTTCAGAACACGCGCAGAAATGTGACTACTGTTTGGTTGGGTTAGGTTAGGTTATGCGTCGTGAAAACAGCGAATATTCGCGATAGTGCAATAGTGTGGCCGAAGCTTTACAGTTAATGAGAAATCGTATCCCACCGTACACAGTCTGCTAACAGAGTCTTACTACACAGTTACATTGTTACTCTTCGTAGTATAATTAGAGACACCAAATTCTTGTTTTATTTTTTTCTGATAAAGAACGATTAACGTATTAACAAACTAGATTACGTACTTCTTGTAACCGATCGCAGACTATTTAAACAAGTTTTTAATTCTAAAATAAAATAATAACGTGAAATGCGTTTATTAATGCTCTAATTCCTTGAATCTTGTGCCAAATTTAGTGACAATGTAAAGGTTTTGAGCACAAACCATCGCAGATAACTTTAAGAGAACTTATCGATAAACGTACGATTCGTAAGTATGTAATGGTAACATAGTGGATGATATGATAATATAATCCTAATAATACTATAAATATGTAAGTTTGTATGTTTGTTACTCAATCAGGCAAAAATTACTGAACAGACTGGCTTGAAATATAGTTTATGACCTGGATTAGGACATAGAATACTAATCGAGCAGGCTAACTCATGACATGAGGTCGACGGTATATAACTTGTTACCAAAGTTAGTAGCCAAGTCGCTTAATAATTTTAAACTTAAATTAAAGTTATGGCTCATCCACAGAACCCTTTATAGTTTCGATGAGTTTTTGAATGCTAAATCCTTGCATTATTTGGACCGATTAATATATTTTTATTTAAACAAGCTTTCAATTGATATACGTATTATGTTTCGTCGCTGAATTTTTATTGATGGTTGTGTCGCCGCTAATGCTTTGGATGAGTGGAGTTCTCTTCTTTCTTTTTCTTACACTGGGCCGGCAATGGCTCTCTTACTTCTAAAGTAAAAGTAAACGTAGGTGTAGTCCGTTGTTTTTCTTCCGCTGACTGCGCGTTGTTAGTGAGGAAGCCACTGTCACTAAAAAGGGTAATCGAGTCTAAAATCAATGAGGGTGATTCGAGGGGAGCCGTTCGGTTACTCATGAGCGAAGACTCGATTGCACCGCGCCGGGACCGGAGACTGTTGCTGCTCTTCAGTCAAAACATCCGCATCCGTCCCGTCTTCTTTTTTTCTTTTTTATTTTTTTATTTTTATAGATAGGTCCGACAAATGACTCCACCCCACCTGATGTTAAGTGAAGGTGAAGTCCACACGCGAAGATAGCTGATACAGCAGTTCTACCTGCCACACCAGCCATCCTCACCCTGCCGGCCTGCATGTTGCTTCTTCACGCCTCTTTTAAAGGATCCCAGGTTGCAAGAGGGAGGGAACACGTGAGCGGGCAGAACATTCCATTTACGGATAGTGCGACAAAGAAATGAGTCACCAAATTTCTTTGTACGCGTTGGAATTAATAATAATAATAATAAACGTTTATTTCTTTTAAATTGTTATATATTTAGTTTACACATTAGTAGTGTTGTAATATTAATAGGTATAAGGTTGAAGCGTTGGTATCTGCACTAGTTTAAAAAACTGTATTGCAGATACCGGCCGGCGCCTTCCGACTTGTTATCAATACAATCTCGTGTGAATAATTTGATCTGTATCTATAATGAAAACGTTATTAAAAAGAAAATTGTAATAAATATTTTGTTTTTCTTCTTTTTTCTTTCCCTTATTTAAATAGTCTACATGTTAATACTATTTACCTACATCTTGAACGGTAAATACATATCTAATAACAAATAGCAACCATCAATGAATATATATGAATATGTGTGTGTGTTTGTATTTGTGTGTGTGTGTGTGTGTGTGTGTGTGTGTGTGTGTGTATGTATATGGATGTGTTGTGTGTGTTCATGTGTATTGTTGATGTAGTGGTAATTTTATTTTTCCAAGTGTTTATGTTTTAAGTACAGTCAACTAATTAAGGCATTTTAGAATGTATTAGATTATCTACTTATTAAGATACTAATTTAATATAAATAGGCTTTCATTGCAGATAATAAGTAATAATTTCAGTTTTATTCTGTTTAATAATATACTTAGTTCATCAAAGTTCCACAGGATGCTTCGAATATTAACATGAAACATTTAAGTTCTTGACCTTTGAACTAATATACGAAGAACATTGTTCTGGTGTACAAATAAACGATTAACAAACATCAAAGCTGTCTAAATCGTCAATAGTTTGTCTTAAATTATCCATTTGTGTAAATAATTATAACTAAGAATGCATTTGTTATAATAATATAATGGCACAATACCACAATACCAGATATCAACCTGTCCACTGAACACAAAGAGGTGTTTTTGTCTAGGTTATTTTGAAGTAATATTATTGAGCTACGCAAACAATTACCGAAAAGTAATTTTAAAATGTAACTGCACTTAGAATGTGACTGTATTTGTGTGTTATTAGGTGAATTACGTGTGTATCTATTTTTTGTCTTAAAGTTGTGTTTCAAAGGATAAATTAATTTATTGTTCAAGATTATATAAAAAATTGAGTTTGAAAAATTATAAGAAAAATCAAAACTTAAATAAATACGAATATAACTATAAAATGAAATAATAAATATGCTATAAAACTTAACTAAATGCACCAGTCACTTGTCATTTTCTATAAGTTGCGATAGATGCGCTTCGCAGTCAATGCGATGTAAGGGACTACCTTCTTTTTTCCTGAGATAAACTTTACCATGGGATGACCAGCAATAACGGTAGTCATGGGACTTGGCAAAGTCCCGCGCCATATATTTTTTTTTGATTTTTAATGACAAACTTTCAGATATAAATATTGGTTTTGACGGCCCCCATCTAATTGCAAAACTGTAGTATTATTTATTTATTTATTTATTTATTTTATTCTTCATGCACATACTGTACAATGGCGGACTTAATGCCGTAGGCATTCTCTACCAGTCAACCATAGGGTGTTGTGGAGATTTTAGTGGCAGGGTGCACAACTGAGGTGGAGATCACATTTAAAGAAATATTACTCATAATAAATATATAACAATAACATACATAAATAAGTAAATATATACAAATTATATAACTAAACATATACATACACATACATACATACTTCATATAATACATACATGACGACAAACTACTTAACGAAACGCTTGTTCCAATAAAAAGGTTCGCAGCTTGGTTTTAAAGGAATGTTTGTTGGGGGACATTCTAATGTCTAGCGGGAGTTCGTTCCACAAAAGTATAGTTTTCACGAAGAAGGAAGAGTGAATGATATCGGAATTGTGAGATGGAACGACTAGTAAACGATTGAAAGAAGATCTAAGATTTTTAGTATGAGAGGTACATAAGTACTGAAACTGAGAAGTGAGATAAGGGGGGGCATTTGGAGAATCCAGCAAAGTGAACAAAGTGGTCAGAGCCCGCATACATCTGCGTTGCCTAATGGGCATCCATTTTAAGAGAGATCGGTATGCGGACACATGGTCATATTTTCTAAGATTAAAAACGAATCGAATGCAGTTATTCTGAAGTCGATCAAGCTTGTTGAGTAGATCTGCATTCAGGTCGAGGTAGCACACATCACCATAGTCGATTATGGGGAATATTAAGGTTTGCACAAGCATTGCCTTGATATTGACCGGCAAAAAATTTTTCAGGCGATAAAGGGCACGCAGTATTCCTGTTACTTTTTTGCAGACGCTACTTATTTAGTCGACTTTTATTTTCTGTGTTGTATTTTTTTACCGAAGACAGGAACTTTTCCTTCAAAATAACATTAATAAAGTCAATAACAATTGGCCATTGGTATGATTTCGTGTACGTGCGGTAGGCGTCGCGAATATCGAACGTTTGTATAGGTACTTGTATCACTTTTCCCGATTCTACCACCATTTTAGTAAAATCGTCCCTGGTTTCTGTTTTGTTTGAAGGAATATTACGAAACTCGATACAAGAACGCCTGTTGCGGTTTTCAAGGCTTTCGATTCTTTCCTCTAATGATTGTATGTACGCTAAATGTGTATTTCGTTCCCTTTCCAATGTGTCTTATTTTACCTTCATGTCGTCGTAAAGCTGCGATATATAAAATTTAAATTTCTTCATTTTGCTTGGAAATAGAAGGCACTGTTGTCTGGAGCGCCTCAAATTTTTTGTATTGTTGAGTTTTTAGTTCACTAAATAACTTACGCATCTCCGTCATTACATCCAAGTCAAAATCTGTTTCGCACCAGGATCGTTTGTACCTATGTATTACATTCAATGCATCCGCTGACTCGGCTCGCGTCGACGCACTGATATTGCGGTCTGACTCTGATCTAGTAAGCATTGCAGTAGCGGCGACTAATGGGGTCTGTGGTGGGGTCCTCTGTGTCGACATCTCGTTCTCTTAAGTAAGAGCAGGATGTAAGTACTGGAACGATAGTTGTCTCCTTTTTGTTGGGCGTAACTTGCTAAATCGCCGTTAATGTGTAAGGAAGATACCTTGCTGATTAGACTGTCGTCCTTTTCTTTTTGTTTTACTTTTATAAAAATTGTGCACTTTTAACTGTGAACACGTCCGCTCACTACTAAGATCGCGCGGGAAGGAGAGAGAGAGAATTATGGCCACAGTAAGACGGTGACAATGAAGGCCAGCGCGCGTGGTCCTCTGAAGGAAAGGGGAAGGTTGTAATGGGTTTTTCCCGGCTACGGATAATTTGAAACAGTCGGCTAGAATTTGAGAAGTTAATAGGGAGCGGGTTTTGTTAAGACCGTGCCTGGAGTACTGTGTGCAAAACTTATTTAAGAGGCGCCATGCACACAGTAGCAAACGATTTCAGATGGAATAAAAATGTCCACACATTAAATGTTCACATCCATTTATTCAATTGTCACATATTTAATGCAGTTTTACATAACCAAGAATGTTAATTTAAATTCAGCATATAAGTTAAATTTCTACCCTTAAATGAGCCTACAAAATGGGTTAATATTACCCGGTTAATCAGTCTGAGTTGTCCATGCGGTATCCAATCATCAACGGGCGATCTGGTCACACGTGTCACATCCCCTGGATGATGGTATTCGTAAGGCAATGGGCAACTTCCACACCCCGGGTACACAGGCAATAGTCCTGGCTGGAGTCCACGTGTTTAGGTCCTCGTGGCTCGAAGCATCTTTAAGTTGCTGAGATTGTGGCTTTTAGGTCATCGCGGAGTGAACATTTAAAATAAAAAAATAAAAGAGCCTAAGCTAGGCTTAACCTAAAGAACCCATGTGGTTATCATGGGTTCAAATTTTATGCCCATTCTGTTGATGGGAGTTGTGGCATATTATAATGCTCTGCCGGAGCGAAGTGCAACCAAAAAAAAACTTATTTTCTGTAGAAAATTCCCTCACATCCTTCCTGATCTGAGGCTTGTCGTGGAAAAGAAAGATGATTTTTCGTGCGGTGACACAACTATTCGCATACCGAATACCTCGAGACATAAGTCATCGGTACGCGGAATCGAATCAATCGATTTAATGATAAAATACCATTACAAACTAAATGTTAATTGTAGAATTAACATTTTTCCACAAGGAGCGAAACGAATATATTCACTTTATTTTTAGGGATGAATTCCCTGAAAGAAACTATCAAAACTGCAAATTATATACTAATCGATCAGCTATCGATACCAATTAATACGATCTACAGATTCCGAACTAACAAACATGTCATCCCTATTACATCACAGATGCAAAAACCATTGTTCCCTTCATATAACGCTGGCGAAAGTCAAGACTACTCTGTATTATACAGCCTAAACAATTGATAAATTTATTATTTTTATATTAGTATCGAATAATTGGTTGGCTGTATTAATTTTATGATCAATTTAATGTTAAACAAAGATTACAAGTCAAAGAAATGAAATTTATTCATAATTTAATAATCATGGACATGCGTTGCGATTCTGTAACTAATATGAAGGAAAGTTTAAAGTTCGGATTTCTGAACGCAATTTAAAGTGACATTGGGGTTGACATTTGAGGTTATCAACCCTTCTGTTTATTATTGTTTACCAATGATTTGATTTTACACTCAAATTAACTCATTGATACAAAAAAAGTGTTACAGTATCGTTTTAGGTGGAAAAGAATTATTTTATTTTAAAATTTAAAATTTTAAAATAAAATAATTCGAGAAAATTGTACCTCGATCCTGAACAAAAGTGAAAGAGAAAGCAAAATTATTTCTTTGGACTAACTGCCCTAGAACAAAACTAATTCTATGTAGCATTCAGAGAAGATACTATGTAAGATATCCTTACTTACGTTTAAAGTGAATATTGAAAACCCATGTTGGCCTACAATTGCCTAATGTATTGTTTACAAATAAACTATTGAAACTTAAATTAATTGTGCTTATTTTGTTTAAATGACACTTTATGAAATAACTTTGAGTTAATTATTAACTTAAGGTATAAACAAAGTTAATACAACTCATATAACTTAAATGCCTAGGTACTAATATCCTAAGTTTATAAATATTCAATATTCCTAATGTGCTTGAAGCACCAGTCTTCAAATATTAAGATTAAATATTAGATATTGCTATGCAATACTCTTAATAATATGGAACTGGAATGCAAGTTCAGATCTTATTTGATAAGTATTATTTTAATTAACTAAATAATTTATTTAAAGGATACACTAAACTCACTATCCTATAGTGTGGAGAGAGTGTGTAAATATTAAAGTTTACTCATTAAACAGATAATAATCTATCATTTCCTTTACTAGGGAAAAAGTAATAAAGTAACACTAAAGAGTGCTTACGCTTATGAGTGCATTTGCATTACAACTATACAGTTGCTGTAGGAACACATTAACTATAGTGTACACTACCTATGCTACTACAAAAGCTTTTTGCTAGCCGTCGAAGACGCCTTTGCCATGGGCAGACTACGTGCTTGACGTTCACGCCCTACTAGGGAACGTGGAAAATGGAATTTGAAATAAATTGGAAATGGAATGGAAGTGGAAATAAAAAGGTTGACTACTAGTTTTTGCTAGCCGTCGAAGACGCCTTTGCCATGGGCAGACTACGTGCTTGACGTTCACGCCCTACTAGGGAACGTGGAAAATGGAATTTGAAATAAATTGGAAATGGAATGGAAGTGGAAATAAAAAGGTTGACTACTAGTCATTTACCTGTGGCTATGCCAAGATCAGGCCCAACAAAGAGGGAAATACTAACTATAAATATCAAAGTTACCTTTTTAAACTTTTTCCTACAACCTATTGTAGTTATATTTATAATTCTTAATAACTTAAATTCGAGATGTAACCAACAGTCATTGAATACAGATTTACCTAATCTATTTGAGAGAACATATTGTCACTCAGTTAATACCTATACCTATGTATACTCTAACTAAATTAAGTAAAAATATAAGACAACATATTGTTTTCCTTTATTAGGGATAACTTAATTATGGCGACTATGGTGTGTTATACATAAACCTGTATATTTTAGGTTATGCAGTGGTGGAAAGAACACATGAAATGGAATGTCCCCACCTACATATATGAATATAACACACTTACACCAGACAGTTACTAGGTAACTGAATCACCTGGTCGCACTATATCGGTGATGTGCCAACGGCCAAGGCTTTTCCCTGATAAAGACTTCAAAGTGTATACCAAGGAAGAGTGCCTTTCAGAAACTACACATTTTTCATACTTAGGAGCTAATTTTGAAGAGAAATGTTTTGCAGCATTGGATTGAGGAAAACACTTTTTGAAAACTATTTGCCCTACTTTAAGCTCAGCATTACGCCTGCGCTTATTATAATAATGTGAATTTCTGTCCTGGGACTTTTTAAGGTGCTGTTTCACTACAACAAATATGGATCTTAATCCTTTCAGTGAATCAGAGAATGAATAGTTTTTATCTATAGATATCAAAGAACTATCTACAGGTTGGTCAATGTTATGAAAAGAACCATCCAGCACCATCTCCCTACCGTGGGTTAAAAAGAATGGGGTGTATTTAGTACCTTCATGTACCGAAGTATTGAGAGCACATTGCACCTCTGATATGTTCTTATCCCAATTTCTATGATCAGAACGCACATAGGAAGCAATAGTTCTAACAATCTCTCGATTCACCCGTTCAGTTTGATTGGTTTGAGGATGATAAACTGGATTATAAAATAAGTTAGGCACTTGATATTTATGAATCAAGTCTCGAAATTCTTTAGAAATAAATTGTGGACCATTGTCTACATAAATGAATTTTGGTACTCCATGAATAAGAAAGATACCCTTTTCCATACATTTGACTACATTTTTAGCAGTGACAGTTCTTAAAGGAAATATGGTTACATATTTACTAAAGTAATCACAACAAACGAATAGGTATTTATTTTGAGAATATGATGGTGGAAAAGAAAAGGCCAAGTATATCACAGGATATGGCTTCTCCTGGTCTAGAGATAAACTTTGAGTTACCCATTAGACCAGCAGGTTTGACATTAACCGGTTTGTAACAGTTACAAATGTCACAAGATTTAATGTATTTTTTAACATCATGGAAAAGAGATGGCCAATAATACCACTCAGAAATCTTTTTATGAGTTTTTGCAACACCAAAATGACCAGCGGTTGGATCATCATGGAACTTAATCAATATGTCAGAACGTTTTTCTAATGGGACTACTAATTTCCAAATAAATTGGGAAACAGCTTTATATTTATTCTTGGAAAGTCTAAACAGTTTATCGTTTTCAATTTTGTAATTGGGAAATTTTGAGGGATTTTTAGAGCATTTATCAAAAATATTTTTATACCATTTATCTTTGGTAGAATTACTATCTATTAAAGAATTAATTTTTATTCTAGACAAAGTGTCTGGAAGAACGTGTTCCTTACCCTTCCTATGGATTATTTCAAAATCAAATTGACTGAGTCTACAGGCCCATCTATTTAGACGACCAGTAGGGTTTTTAAGTTTGGAAAACCAAAGTAAAGAAGCGTGGTCAGTGACAATATAACATTTCCTGCCCTCTATGTAAGCACGATACTGTTCTAGAGCATATAATACTGCAAGTAATTCTCTTTCAGTAGCAGAGTAATTTACTTCCTGGGAATTTAGAGTCCTACTGCAATAAGCAATGGGGTGGTCAACATTGTCATATTTTTGTGTTAGAACAGCACCTACGGCATATGAAGATGCATCAGTATGTATGCTGAAAGGAAGGTCAAAATTAGGACATTTTAAAATAGGGGCAGAGATTAAAGCTGTTTTCAGCTTATTGAAAGCGTCGTCTGCTTCAGGAGACCATGAAAATATAGCCTTTTTACTCGTTAAGCGAGTCAAAGGGCGAGAAATTTTGGAAAAATTATTTATGAACCGACGATACCAACCGGCCATACCAAGAAATCTTTTTATATCTTTAGCATCTTTAGGGATGGGAAAATTGAAAATGGCTTCTACTTTACAAGGGTCAGTCCTTAAACCATATTGGTCAACAACATAACCAAGATATTTTAGTTCATTCCTACAAAAAATGGACTTTTTCATATTAATAGTTAGATTTGCAGCTTTTAGCTTTACATAGACTGACTTTAGGAGACGGATATGCTCGCTGAAAGTAGCTGTACAGATTATAATGTCATCGACAAAGCAAAAGACTTTGTTATCAAATTCAGCAGTAAACAGACTATCCATGAGTCGTTGCATGGTGGCTGATGCACCAACAAGACCAAAACACATACGGTTGTAATGATACAGTCCTTTACCAGGTACGGTGAATGCAGTTTTCTCTTTTGAAGATTTAGAAAGCCTGATCTGGTGGTATGCGGCACTAAGGTCTAAAGAAGTTAGGTATTTAGCATCCCTTAAGTTGTCTAATATGTAACTAACATAAGGAAGTGGATATGCATCAGTTTTCGAAACTGAGTTCACTTTTCTGCTATCTAGACAAAGCCTAAGGTCGCCATTGGACTTGGAAACCATGACAACAGGAGAATTCCATGGAGAATGAGAAGGTTCTACTATACCTAAATGTAACATACGGTCTACTTCTTTTTCCAAAGCAAATTGCTTCTCAGGACTAAGTCGGTAATATTTTTGTTTTATTGGTTTTGCATCACCAGTATCAATGACATGTTCAAGAAGGTTAGTTTCACCAAGACCTACCCTTTCTGTATTAATGTTGTCAAATAAATTCTTGATTTGATCAATTTGGTTCTTTTGATCAATAGTTAAGGAATCAAAATCATTAAGTCCAGAGCGGGAAGGTAAAGTAGACATACTACCAATGTTCTCCAATTGAGTAATGTTTTTAAAAATATCAGGTGCTATATTAAAAGCTTTCCAAAAGTTCAATCCAAAGTGGATAGGTATATCAATATTGGGCTGAATGTAAAATTTAACAATTTCTAAATCATTATTATAACAAATAGGTAACATCATATATTGTGTGCATATTAATTCTTGACCACTGGCAACACATATTTTAATCGGACTATCAAAGTCATAAAGAGGAATTCCTATGTTCTGAAATAAAGTATGGCAATTGTTACCTAAAACAGAGCAAGAAGCACCACAGTCCAACAAACCTTTAACTTTAAGTCCAAGAATGTCTACAGCTAAGTAAGGTCTATAATCATTATCCGGAGGTTCAAAATATGTCTTTTCTGTTAAAGCGGGATGAAATTCGTTCTTATACTTTTTATGTTCTGGAGAAAAGACATGGCCAACTAGTTTTTTGGCATAGAGCATTTAGGACACTCTGGTGTACGGACACCTCTCTCACCACACTTGAAACAAACAAGATCTTTAGATTTTAGACATCTACTAGTGTTATGGTTGTTATTACCACACCTAAAGCAATGTAGGTTGAATTTATTGGAGCTAGAGGGCTGATTAGATTTCTTATTAACGTCATTTTGATTTAGTGATGATATTTGATTTGTTTTAAAATTTACAAAAGATTGTTTTGATTTAGTAGGTTTACTCAAATTATATTTAAAATCAGGAGCCAATGAATCAGCTGTTAATACTGGTTCTCTGAACTGATTAGCTTTGACCTTTGCCAACTCAAGCTTTTTACACAAGAACTTGAGGTGTTCAATTGAAGTTATGTTATGCAATGCTAACTCGACACTATATTCCGGACGGATGTTCCTAAGGATGATGTCCAGTTGTTCATCCTCAGGGATATTTTTCCTTAAACGTGAAAACATACCCACGACGATGGACAAGAAAACAACTATAGTTTCTGATTTTGCCTGGGTACGCTGCCGTATCTCAGCTAAGAGCAGGTGGTCTAAGTCAGGAATATCGAAGTCTTCACTGAGTGATTTTGTAACATCTGAGAAACATTCAAATTTATGTTTATTGGCTCTGAACCAATATAAGGCAGGACCCTCTAGTAAATCCGGAAAACCGTCAAAGATCACATCTTTGGGAACCTTACGAGCAACCCTAAGTTCCTCTAATCGAGTTAAGAATACACGGACACAAGAATCGCCGCGATACTTTAAATTGAAAGAATTCAAATTATAGACCTTCGGAGAGAGCTGTTGAACAACCTGAACAGTTTCAACAACTTCCTTCTCGGGTGTAGAGAAAGATTCCCCCGTTTCCTCGGGTTCATCACTATCATTTTCCAGATGCATGAGAATGCAAATAAGAGAAGATTTTAGTTTTGCAATTCCATCCTCTGGATTGCTTATCCTCGAAAGACGACAAGTAAATAATTGCACCGAGCTACTAACCGCTTAACCATGCGCTCACTGGATGTTAAATCCTTACTGCTTGCCTCAATCTCAGCAACCTTGGGAGTACATATGGCTACCTCAGACGACTGGTCGATGGTGAAATTGTCCATTGCCTTCACACTACCTCGTCGGGCAATTTGCAGGTGTGACGCAGGAGTTTTCCTCAGATCGTCCGTTGATGAGGTTGTTTCCGCAGGTAAGTGCCTTATAGACAGCTCATGTAACAGTTCGTCCTTATGTAGGTACTCAACTGGACAACCAACTGTAATGAAATCCATGTTGTATGATTATACAAGTTTCACAACAAAAAAAACTTAAATTCTAAAGCTAAACAATAGTCTTTAGTAGTATAAAATATACAGTATATAACTAAGTACAGTTAATACACTTAAATCAGGTAGGCTAACCTTTAATGGAGGTACCTAAACAAAAAATATTTTCTCCGAGAGAACGGAGACAAAATGGAAAGAATTCCAAACAATATTAGGTAGGCTAGACCTAAATAGGTGCCTAAAGAATATATTTAAGGTAAGTTTATGAGCTTCCTTTATGAAAAAGTAAGTTACAAAAAAATAATTTAAGTTACCCACTAAAGAAAAAAAAAATTTAATATTCAATTTTATTTCATCTGAAATCTCCAGGCCAAACGTTGGGTACGACACTGTAATGGGTTTTTCCCGGCTACGGATAATTTGAAACAGTCGGCTAGAATTTGAGAAGTTAATAGGGAGCGGGTTTTGTTAAGACCGTGCCTGGAGTACTGTGTGCAAAACTTATTTAAGAGGCGCCATGCACACAGTAGCAAACGATTTCAGATGGAATAAAAATGTCCACACATTAAATGTTCACATCCATTTATTCAATTGTCACATATTTAATGCAGTTTACATAACCAAGAATGTTAATTTAAATTCAGCATATAAGTTAAATTTCTACCCTTAAATGAGCCTACAAAATGGGTTAGTATTACCCGGTTAATCAGTCTGAGTGTCCATGCGGTATCCAATCATCAACGGGCGGTCTGGTCACACGTGTCACATCCCCTGGATGATGGTATTCGTAAGGCAATGGGCAGCTTCCACACCCCGGGTACACAGGCAATAGTCCTGGCTGGAGTCCACGTGTTTAGGTCCTCGTGGCTCGAAGCATCTTTAGGTTGCTGAGATTGTGGCTTTTAGGTCATCGCGGAGTGAACATTTAAAATAAAAAAAATAAAAGAGCCTAAGCTAGGCTTAACCTAAAGAACCCATGTGGTTATCATGGGTTCAAATTTTATGCCCATTCTGTTGATGGGAGTTGTGGCATATTATAATGCTCTGCCGGAGCGAAGTGCAACCAAAAAAAACTTATTTTCTGTAGAAAATTCCCTCACATCCTTCCTGATCTGAGGCTTGTCGTGGAAAAGAAAGATGATTTTTCGTGCGGTGACACAACTATTCGCATACCGAATACCTCGAGACATAAGTCATCGGTACGCGGAATCGAATCAATCGATTTAATGAAAAAACCATTACAAACTAAATGTTAATTGTAGAATTAACATTTTTCCACAAGAGCGAAACGAATATATTCACTTTATTTTTAGGGATGAATTCCCTGAAAGAAACTATCAAAACTGCAAATTATATACTAATCGATCAGCTATCGATACCAATTAATACGATCTACAGATTCCGAACTAACAAACATGTCATCCCTATTACATCACAGATGCAAAAACCATTGTTCCCTTCATATAACGCTGGCGAAAGTCAAGACTACTCTGTATTATACAGCCTAAACAATTGATAAATTTATTATTTTTATATTAGTATCGAATAATTGGTTGGCTGTATTAATTTTATGATCAATTTAATGTTAAACAAAGATTACAAGTCAAAGAAATGAAATTTATTCATAATTTAATAATCATGGACATGCGTTGCGATTCTGTAACTATTTATATGAAGGAAAGTTTAAAGTTCGGATTTCTGAACGCAATTTAAAGTGACATTGGGGTTGACATTTGAGGTTATCAACCCTTCTGTTTATTATTGTTTACCAATGATTTGATTTTACACTCAAATTAACTCATTGATACAAAAAAAGTGTTACAAGGTGGAATAAGAGAGAATAACTCCATCGAAATCTCAGAACACTCGCCGTTGTACAGACGATAGAACGCGCTTAGTGACGCCACGTCACGACGTAATTGAAGAGGCTCAAGGTGTTTAGTCACCTCCTTCACGCCTATGATGCGGATCGCGCGCCGCTGTAACCTATCCAAAGCATCGAGCAAGTACTTGGTGAAGCCATCCCAGAGGTGCGAGCAATATTCCACGCAAGACCGCACTTGCGTTTTGTACAACAAGCACAGTTGATCGGACGTGAAAAAACACCGCACCTTGTTCAGGACTCCGAGTTTTTATGAAGCTGTTTTGATCACGGTTTCGATGTAGTCCTTTGGATTCAGGTCTGAGCGAACTTCCATACCGAGTATGGAAATGTTGCTCTGTAGCGGTAGTGTTATGCCCTGAAGAGAGGGAAGGGGAAGGAATTTCGATGTTTATGCCGTGAAAGCGTAAGCCTGAGTTTTCTTGGCATTGAACTCAACCAAGTTCCTGGTACCCCATTCGGAAATGTGGTCCAAAGCCTGATTGAGTTCAATGACAAGATTCTCCCGTTTCTCCTTAATTACCGCCTGCCCAGCCGCTGCTTGTCCGAGATACCCCGCATGCACTGTACTATCGTCTGCATAGCAATGAATATTCCCAATAGGGATTAATGCATTTTCCACCGGAGCCCGTCTCGTGCATTCCGAGGTTGTTGGTGACGAAAGAGGATTTAGTGCTGGCTGTTAACTCTTTTTATAATGGATCAGCTGCTGGCTTGGATGGCATTCGTCCTTCTCATTTGAAGGAATTGATTTCTAACTCTGCGGGAGATAACGGTCAGCGCTTGATTAAAGCCTTAAAACTAGGCTCAATAATTTTTTGCTCTATGGCCAATTGAATCATGATGTGTGTCCCTATTTGTATGGGACGACACTATGTGGCCTGAAGAAGAAGGTGGGTGGGCTGAGACCTATCGCGGTAGGGAGTGTGATTCGCCCGTGGCAGTTGGCTGGGTCTGCTATCGGGCGCGTCCTTCCGGGTGGCGAATGGGAGGTACCGGCTTCGGTCGGTGTGGACCATACCCAGCTGCGCAGACCTGGCTGGCGTCCTGAGTAACCTGGGTAGCGGCAGTCTGGCCAACCCGTAACCCTGTACGTGGTGTGGGGCCGGGGGCCGCCGTCCTTCGGGGCAGCCGCTACAAGGAAGAAAACCTTTTCAAAATTTACCCTTGAAGAGGCCAGGTAGGGTTCCCTCGCCTGGAAGAGGGAAAATTCTTTCATTAAAATTTGAGGATTAAGGCATCCTACGCTATAGAGGCGGCGGGGAAAACGATACGGAAGAGGAGGTGGACATAACACCTACGCCACCTAAAGTTAACAAGTCAAAGAAATGAAATTTATTCATAATTTAATAATCATGGACATGCGTTGCGATTCTGTAACTATTTATATGAAGGAAAGTTTAAAGTTCGGATTTCTGAACGCAATTTAAAGTGACATTGGGGTTGACATTTGAGGTTATCAACCCTTCTGTTTATTATTGTTTACCAATGATTTGATTTTACACTCAAATTAACTCATTGATACAAAAAAAGTGTTACAGTATCGTTTTAGGTGGAAAAGAATTATTTTATTTTAAAATTTAAAATTTTAAAATAAAATAATTCGAGAAAATTGTACCTCGATCCTGAACAAAAGTGAAAGAGAAAGCAAAAATTTCTTTGGACTAACTGCCCTAGAACAAAACTAATTCTATGTAGCATTCAGAGAAGATACTATGTAAGATATCCTTACTTACGTTTAAAGTGAATATTGAAAACCCATGTTGGCCTACAATTGCCTAATGTATTGTTTACAAATAAACTATTGAAACTTAAATTAATTGTGCTTATTTTGTTTAAATGACACTTTATGAAATAACTTTGAGTTAATTATTAACTTAAGGTATAAACAAAGTTAATACAACTCATAAACTTAAATGCCTAGGTACTAATATCCTAAGTTTATAAATATTCAATATTCCTAATGTTTGAAGCACCAGTCTTCAAATATTAAGATTAAATATTAGATATTGCTATGCAATACTCTTAATAATGGAACTGGAATGCAAGTTCAGATCTTATTTGATAAGTATTATTTTAATTAACTAAATAATTTATTTAAAGGATACACTAAACTCACTATCCTATAGTGTGGAGAGAGTGTGTAAATATTAAAGTTTACTCATTAAACAGATAATAATCTATCATTTCCTTTACTAGGGAAAAAGTAATAAAGTAACACTAAAGAGTGCTTACGCTTATGAGTGCATTTGCATTACAACTATACAGTTGCTGTAGGAACACATTAACTATAGTGTACACTACCTATGCTACTACAAAAGCTTTTTGCTAGCCGTCGAAGACGCCTTTGCCATGGGCAGACTACGTGCTTGACGTTCACGCCCTACTAGGGAACGTGGAAAATGGAATTTGAAATAAATTGGAAATGGAATGGAAGTGGAAATAAAAAGGTTGACTACTAGTTTTTGCTAGCCGTCGAAGACGCCTTTGCCATGGGCAGACTACGTGCTTGACGTTCACGCCCTACTAGGGAACGTGGAAAATGGAATTTGAAATAAATTGGAAATGGAATGGAAGTGGAAATAAAAAGGTTGACTACTAGTCATTTACCTGTGGCTATGCCAAGATCAGGCCCAACAAAGAGGGAAATACTAACTATAAATATCAAAGTTACCTTTTTAAACTTTTTCCTACAACCTATTGTAGTTATATTTATAATTCTTAATAACTTAAATTCGAGATGTATTGTAACCAACAGTCATTGAATACAGATTTACCTAATCTATTTGAGAGAACATATTGTCACTCAGTTAATACCTATACCTATGTATACTCTAACTAAATTAAGTAAAAATATAAGACAACATATTGTTTTCCTTTATTAGGGATAACTTAATTATGGCGACTATGGTGTGTTATACATAAACCTGTATATTTTAGGTTATGCAGTGGTGGAAAGAACACATGAAATGGAATGTCCCCACCTACATATATGAATATAACACACTTACACCAGACAGTTACTAGGTAACTGAATCACCTGGTCGCACTATATCGGTGATGTGCCAACGGCCAAGGCTTTTCCCTGATAAAGACTTCAAAGTGTATACCAAGGAAGAGTGCCTTTCAGAAACTACACATTTTTCATACTTAGGAGCTAATTTTGAAGAGAAATGTTTTGCAGCATTGGATTGAGGAAAACACTTTTTGAAAACTATTTGCCCTACTTTAAGCTCAGCATTACGCCTGCGCTTATTATAATAATGTGAATTTCTGTCCTGGGACTTTTTAAGGTGCTGTTTCACTACAACAAATATGGATCTTAATCCTTTCAGTGAATCAGAGAATGAATAGTTTTTATCTATAGATATCAAAGAACTATCTACAGGTTGGTCAATGTTATGAAAAGAACCATCCAGCACCATCTCCCTACCGTGGGTTAAAAAGAATGGGGTGTATTTAGTACCTTCATGTACCGAAGTATTGAGAGCACATTGCACCTCTGATATGTTCTTATCCCAATTTCTATGATCAGAACGCACATAGGAAGCAATAGTTCTAACAATCTCTCGATTCACCCGTTCAGTTTGATTGGTTTGAGGATGATAAACTGGATTATAAAATAAGTTAGGCACTTGATATTTATGAATCAAGTCTCGAAATTCTTTAGAAATAAATTGTGGACCATTGTCTACATAAATGAATTTTGGTACTCCATGAATAAGAAAGATACCCTTTTCCATACATTTGACTACATTTTTAGCAGTGACAGTTCTTAAAGGAAATATGGTTACATATTTACTAAAGTAATCACAACAAACGAATAGGTATTTATTTTGAGAATATGATGGTGGAAAAGGCCCAAGTATATCACAGGATATGGCTTCTCCTGGTCTAGAGATAAACTTTGAGTTACCCATTAGACCAGCAGGTTTGACATTAACCGGTTTGTAACAGTTACAAATGTCACAAGATTTAATGTATTTTTTAACATCATGGAAAAGAGATGGCCAATAATACCACTCAGAAATCTTTTTATGAGTTTTTGCAACACCAAAATGACCAGCGGTTGGATCATCATGGAACTTAATCAATATGTCAGAACGTTTTTCTAATGGGACTACTAATTTCCAAATAAATTGGGAAACAGCTTTATATTTATTCTTGGAAAGTCTAAACAGTTTATCGTTTTCAATTTTGTAATTGGGAAATTTTGAGGGATTTTTAGAGCATTTATCAAAAATATTTTTATACCATTTATCTTTGGTAGAATTACTATCTATTAAAGAATTATTTTTATTCTAGACAAAGTGTCTGGAAGAACGTGTTCCTTACCCTTCCTATGGATTATTTCAAAATCAAATTGACTGAGTCTACAGGCCCATCTATTTAGACGACCAGTAGGGTTTTTAAGTTTGGAAAACCAAAGTAAAGAAGCGTGGTCAGTGACAATATAACATTTCCTGCCCTCTATGTAAGCACGATACTGTTCTAGAGCATATAATACTGCAAGTAATTCTCTTTCAGTAGCAGAGTAATTTACTTCCTGGGAATTTAGAGTCCTACTGCAATAAGCAATGGGGTGGTCAACATTGTCATATTTTTGTGTTAGAACAGCACCTACGGCATATGAAGATGCATCAGTATGTATGCTGAAAGGAAGGTCAAAATTAGGACATTTTAAAATAGGGGCAGAGATTAAAGCTGTTTTCAGCTTATTGAAAGCGTCGTCTGCTTCAGGAGACCATGAAAATATAGCCTTTTTACTCGTTAAGCGAGTCAAAGGGCGAGAAATTTTGGAAAAATTATTTATGAACCGACGATACCAACCGGCCATACCAAGAAATCTTTTTATATCTTTAGCATCTTTAGGGATGGGAAAATTGAAAATGGCTTCTACTTTACAAGGGTCAGTCCTTAAACCATATTGGTCAACAACATAACCAAGATATTTTAGTTCATTCCTACAAAAAATGGACTTTTTCATATTAATAGTTAGATTTGCAGCTTTTAGCTTTACATAGACTGACTTTAGGAGACGGATATGCTCGCTGAAAGTAGCTGTACAGATTATAATGTCATCGACAAAGCAAAAGACTTTGTTATCAAATTCAGCAGTAAACAGACTATCCATGAGTCGTTGCATGGTGGCTGATGCACCAACAAGACCAAAACACATACGGTTGTAATGATACAGTCCTTTACCAGGTACGGTGAATGCAGTTTTCTCTTTTGAAGATTTAGAAAGCCTGATCTGGTGGTATGCGGCACTAAGGTCTAAAGAAGTTAGGTATTTAGCATCCCTTAAGTTGTCTAATATGTAACTAACATAAGGAAGTGGATATGCATCAGTTTTCGAAACTGAGTTCACTTTTCTGCTATCTAGACAAAGCCTAAGGTCGCCATTGGACTTGGAAACCATGACAACAGGAGAATTCCATGGAGAATGAGAAGGTTCTACTATACCTAAATGTAACATACGGTCTACTTCTTTTTCCAAAGCAATTGCTTCTCAGGACTAAGTCGGTAATATTTTTGTTTTATTGGTTTTGCATCACCAGTATCAATGACATGTTCAAGAAGGTTAGTTTCACCAAGACCTACCCTTTCTGTATTAATGTTGTCAAATAAATTCTTGATTTGATCAATTTGGTTCTTTTGATCAATAGTTAAGGAATCAAAATCATTAAGTCCAGAGCGGGAAGGTAAAGTAGACATACTACCAATGTTCTCCAATTGAGTAATGTTTTTAAAAATATCAGGTGCTATATTAAAAGCTTTCCAAAAGTTCAATCCAAAGTGGATAGGTATATCAATATTGGGCTGAATGTAAAATTTAACAATTTCTAAATCATTATTATAACAAATAGGTAACATCATATATTGTGTGCATATTAATTCTTGACCACTGGCAACACATATTTTAATCGGACTATCAAAGTCATAAAGAGGAATTCCTATGTTCTGAAATAAAGTATGGCAATTGTTACCTAAAACAGAGCAAGAAGCACCACAGTCCAACAAACCTTTAACTTTAAGTCCAAGAATGTCTACAGCTAAGTAAGGTCTATAATCATTATCCGGAGGTTCAAAATATGTCTTTTCTGTTAAAGCGGGATGAAATTCGTTCTTATACTTTTTATGTTCTGGAGAAAAGACATGGCCAACTAGTTTTTTGGCATAGAGCATTTAGGACACTCTGGTGTACGGACACCTCTCTCACCACACTTGAAACAAACAAGATCTTTAGATTTTAGACATCTACTAGTGTTATGGTTGTTATTACCACACCTAAAGCAATGTAGGTTGAATTTATTGGAGCTAGAGGGCTGATTAGATTTCTTATTAACGTCATTTTGATTTAGTGATGATATTTGATTTGTTTTAAAATTTACAAAAGATTGTTTTGATTTAGTAGGTTTACTCAAATTATATTTAAAATCAGGAGCCAATGAATCAGCTGTTAATACTGGTTCTCTGAACTGATTAGCTTTGACCTTTGCCAACTCAAGCTTTTTACACAAGAACTTGAGGTGTTCAATTGAAGTTATGTTATGCAATGCTAACTCGACACTATATTCCGGACGGATGTTCCTAAGGATGATGTCCAGTTGTTCATCCTCAGGGATATTTTTCCTTAAACGTGAAAACATACCCACGACGATGGACAAGAAAACAACTATAGTTTCTGATTTTGCCTGGGTACGCTGCCGTATCTCAGCTAAGAGCAGGTGGTCTAAGTCAGGAATATCGAAGTCTTCACTGAGTGATTTTGTAACATCTGAGAAACATTCAAATTTATGTTTATTGGCTCTGAACCAATATAAGGCAGGACCCTCTAGTAAATCCGGAAAACCGTCAAAGATCACATCTTTGGGAACCTTACGAGCAACCCTAAGTTCCTCTAATCGAGTTAAGAATACACGGACACAAGAATCGCCGCGATACTTTAAATTGAAAGAATTCAAATTATAGACCTTCGGAGAGAGCTGTTGAACAACCTGAACAGTTTCAACAACTTCCTTCTCGGGTGTAGAGAAAGATTCCCCCGTTTCCTCGGGTTCATCACTATCATTTTCCAGATGCATGAGAATGCAAATAAGAGAAGATTTTAGTTTTGCAATTCCATCCTCTGGATTGCTTATCCTCGAAAGACGACAAAGTAAATAATTGCACCGAGCTACTAACCGCTTAACCATGCGCTCACTGGATGTTAAATCCTTACTGCTTGCCTCAATCTCAGCAACCTTGGGAGTACATATGGCTACCTCAGACGACTGGTCGATGGTGAAATTGTCCATTGCCTTCACACTACCTCGTCGGGCCAATTTGCAGGTGTGACGCAGGAGTTTTCGCAGATCGTCCGTTGATGAGGTTGTTTCCGCAGGTAAGTGCCTTATAGACAGCTCATGTAACAGTTCGTCCTTATGTAAGTACTCAACTGGACAACCAACTGTAATGAAATCCATGTTGTATGATTATACAAGTTTCACAACAAAAAAACTTAAATTCTAAAGCTAAACAATAGTCTTTAGTAGTATATAATATACAGTATATAACTAAGTACAGTTAATACACTTAAATCAGGTAGGCTAACCTTTAATGGAGGTACCTAAACAAAAAATATTTTCTCCGAGAGAACGGAGACAAAATGGAAAGAATTCCAAACAATATTAGGTAGGCTAGACCTAAATAGGTGCCTAAAGAATATATTTAAGGTAAGTTTATGAGCTTCCTTTATGAAAAAGTAAGTTATACAAAAAAATAATTTAAGTTACCCACTAAAGAAAAAAAAAATTTAATATTCAATTTTATTTCATCTGAAATCTCCAGGCCAAACGTTGGGTACGACACTGTAATGGGTTTTTCCCGGCTACGGATAATTTGAAACAGTCGGCTAGAATTTGAGAAGTTAATAGGGAGCGGGTTTTGTTAAGACCGTGCCTGGAGTACTGTGTGCAAAACTTATTTAAGAGGCGCCATGCACACAGTAGCAAACGATTTCAGATGGAATAAAAATGTCCACACATTAAATGTTCACATCCATTTATTCAATTGTCACATATTTAATGCAGTTTTACATAACCAAGAATGTTAATTTAAATTCAGCATATAAGTTAAATTTCTACCCTTAAATGAGCCTACAAAATGGGTTAATATTACCCGGTTAATCAGTCTGAGTTGTCCATGCGGTATCCAATCATCAACGGGCGATCTGGTCACACGTGTCACATCCCCTGGATGATGGTATTCGTAAGGCAATGGGCAACTTCCACACCCCGGGTACACAGGCAATAGTCCTGGCTGGAGTCCACGTGTTTAGGTCCTCGTGGCTCGAAGCATCTTTAAGTTGCTGAGATTGTGGCTTTTAGGTCATCGCGGAGTGAACATTTAAAATAAAAAAAATAAAAGAGCCTAAGCTAGGCTTAACCTAAAGAACCCATGTGGTTATTATGGGTTCAAATTTTATGCCCATTCTGTTGATGGGAGTTGTGGCATATTATAATGCTCTGCCGGAGCGAAGTGCAACCAAAAAAAACTTATTTTCTGTAGAAAATTCCCTCACATCCTTCCTGATCTGAGGCTTGTCGTGGAAAAGAAAGATGATTTTTCGTGCGGTGACACAACTATTCGCATACCGAATACCTCGAGACATAAGTCATCGGTACGCGGAATCGAATCAATCGATTTAATGATAAAATACCATTACAAACTAAATGTTAATTGTAGAATTAACATTTTTCCACAAGGAGCGAAACGAATATATTCACTTTATTTTTAGGGATGAATTCCCTGAAAGAAACTATCAAAACTGCAAATTATATACTAATCGATCAGCTATCGATACCAATTAATACGATCTACAGATTCCGAACTAACAAACATGTCATCCCAAGGAAGGGCAAGCGCAAAGCTTCCCAGGCTCTTGCTGCGAAGCCAGACCCGAATAAGAGGTTCACTCTGGAGGAGCTGCACACTCTCACGGCAGCGGAGATTAATACCTCGCTCATCAGTCGCATGGATAATCCATCGACGGAGAGGCGAGACACGAGGAAGGTGAGTTCGCGGAAGCGGTCGAGAAGGCGAACTGGGAGGCAAAGAAAATCGCGTTGGAGGCCATTCGGAGAGCAGAGAAGGCCGAAAGGCTGGACAAGGTAGAGAAGGAGAATGGCCGACTCAAGCAGGAGAACGAGGGTCTCAGGGCGGAAGTTCAGGCCATGAAGAAGGAGTTAGCCTCACTGAAGATGACTGTGGAGAAGGGGGCGCACCCAGCGCCACAGCCAGTTGCGTTACTGATGTCAGAGGCCGCCGAGGAGCTGAAACGCTCCCTTATGCTGTCCATAGGGGAGATGGTCAGCACTCGGCTGGCCTCCTTGGAGGAAAGGCTGCCACCGCCGATGAGTTATAGGCCATCACTGGCGGCAGATCGTGAGGCGGAGGCGAGGGCAAAGGAGCCGTGGAGCGTGGTAGCCGCGAGGAAGAAGCCGAAGAAGGGCAAGGGCACGGCTCCTGCAGCCAGCCCGGCGCAGAAGGTCGAAGTCGTCACGCAGCACAAGCGTGTCCCGGTGTCAGAGGAAGGGTGGGGAAAGGGCGCCGCGCATTAAGGTGCCGAGTACCACCGCAGTCGAACTGAAGGTGAAGCCCAGGGCAGAGGAACTGGGCTTCACCTTCACGAACATCGTAAAGATGGCACGGGCGGCTATCGAGCTGCCGTCCGTGGGCATCGAGGAAGGCTTTAAAATCAAGACCAGGCAGACTGGGTCCAGGCTCCTGCTCATATCGGGGCCTGGAAATAGAGAGAAGGCTGATACGCTGGCCAAGCGCATGGAGGAGGCTGTCGGAGAATATGCCGAGATCGGCAGGCCAGAGAGGTGTGCGGTCCTGAAGGTGTCTGGGCTCGACGAGTCAGTGATGCCGGAGGAAGTCAAGGAGGCGATTGCCAAGAAGGGAGGTTGCTCGGTACCCGAGTTGTCAACGGGAGGAATGCATGCAAGGACCAGGGGGGATAGGGATAATGCTCATCAGGTGCCCCACGTGGGCCGCGAGAATGGTGGCAGAAGGGGGAAAACTGAGCGTGGGCTGGAACCAAGCAAAGGTGAGGTGGTCCTCAGCCGGCGCGTGTACTGCTTCCGGTGCATGGGAAGGGGGCACGCGGTGGTACGATACCCGGCGAAGGAGGACCGGAGCATTTTATACTTCCGGTGTGGGAAGACGGGGCAGCGCACAACGCCGCCCCATCCCGTTGCGCGGTCTGCACAGAGAGTGGCCGGCCATCAGGTCACATTATGGGGAGTAGGAGGTGCGACCCTCCGGATACCAAGGGCAAAGCCCCAAGCAAAGTGGTCGCTGAGTCGTCGGCGCCGGGACAGGCACCCTCAGAGGAAGGGACGTCCGAGTAGTCTTGGACTCCCTACCGACTGCTGCCGCCCGCGTCTCCCATCTCTTCTCCTAGTAGAAGGGTCAGGGAGACGCGGGCGGCCGAGAGAGGGGGTGTCTGCCCCCGCAACGACGGCGAGGGAAGAGGGACGGGGAGAACTACGCTCCCCCTCCTACTCCTCCGGGAACCAGTGGCCAGACTTAATTTCCTAATGTTATTATTTTAATGAAAGCTTTCGGTCAAACCCCTCCGCCAGTTCGCCGACTCAGTCGCGGAGCAAAGGAGCCACCACAACACCACAATTCGCGGGCGCGATTCACCACCACACGGGGGAAAATATTTCGCCCCGACAAAACACCTCCTGTATTTACAAAAGCACAATCAACTAAAGCCCACAGCAAGCAGCGCTCAACCCTAACCAGCTGACCAAGGAGTACAGTATTTAATATGTACATAAGTAAGGCTTATTCGTCCTAAGTATATGATAATACAGGCAATGTAGATAGGAACAATTTAACCGGAAGTTAATTCTACTACAATAAACAGAAAACACGGATGTGAGCTAATAAATTTTAAGATACTATTTCTTTCTATATATTTCACAATAAAACCACGGCTGCTGACAAGTACTAATTTAACACACTGTTCTAATTAATGTTCCAAAGATGGTTCACAATCAATTACACAAATCACAAACAATAGGAAGCTAATTCTTAATTATAAAATATGCGACTCTAAGTTATTCAAACAATATAGTTATGACTCGACTGTAATTTTACTAAAATATTAATAAAATAAAATGCTACTTATAGTGTTGTTTCAGATATTAAAGGGGTTATAAATCAACAGGGAAATAATAAAACATAATTTTGTAGTCCAGGCGAAACTACCTCCGCATACTTTTATTCAGAGAAGAAGTTAACCCGAGACGAGAGGTGGGAGAAAAAAATGTGTGAGCTGGACAATTACCAGCAGCAGCTCACGGAACAGCACCACAGAACAACGGATCACAACCGTATCTGACAGTTATATCAAACTAGGTGTGTGTTTCAGTAAATCCTCATTAGGGTTTCAGCAACACACCCACACAGCTTCCAACACCGCTTCAAAAATCAGTCTGGATTCTGGACCGAAGAATGTCACGCTACCACATCACCACTACTCCACTCTTCGCCACAAAATTCACCACAGCAACTTTTGATTCCTTGTTCAACCGCGTTCCAGCCCAAAAAGAACGAGCGGTCGACGCCGGAAAAAAAAACCCACTCTCAACCAATGCGTTCAGAAATTGCCAGTTTCAGTCGCTGGACGTATGATTTTGCTTGATTATATCAATTTCATTATTTAGTCTATAAAGCCATTTTTGAAGACCTACAACTTACTCTTGAACAATAATCTAAGTAACACAAGATTAATAGTTTTATAACAAATTAATGTGATTAACTCACAGAGCTTCAACTAGCCTTTTCGAACGAAACTAACTGGTTTCGTTCCACACAAAACACACCTTAACACGCAAACTTAAACGTAATGAAGTGTTCTCTTATAAGTTGTAATGAAAAGTAAATATTTAAATGAAGTTTAATCGAAAATTAGAGAACGAATTATGCAAGATAGATAATATATTTAAATAAATTGAGCAAAAGGTTTCATAATCAAGGTTATTATCAGTTGTGAACGGAACGCACACGCATCACGTGACTCCAGCCAGCTGTCAGAATACGTGCGGTCACAAAGTATTTGTTTGTATAATTCGGTAAAATGGTAAAGCAGTATTTTAAGAAGATTAAAAATTAAGTATTTAATACTACGTTAATTTCGTGGTAATCCCTAAAAATCGAAGAATTGTACTATGTGGAAAACAGGATGGCGGCCCACATCACACCATCACGGAATGAATCACCAAATTAAAGAAAATGAAAGGATTATTGTAAAACTGGTAAGAGATTTCTTTTTAATGAAAAAAAAATGTTACAGTAGGTAGGGCCTTGCTCACTTCGGCGAGTCTCAGGGCTGGCTGAAGTGGACGGGGAGGAGTCCCACATACCTACTCGCTCCCCCAATGGTTGAAGGATGCGTAAAGCATTTTCCAGACACATATAAAAAAAATATAAAAAAGGGAGTGTGATTCGGCGCTTAGTGGCCAAGCTGGGATGCCGAGCTGTGAAGGAGCGAATGGCTTCCTACCTTCAACCACATCAATTAGGTTTTGGTATACATCTTAGTTGTGAGGCGGGAATACATGTCGTTCGGACTTTTGCAATGGATCGATAGATTTAAAGAACGCCTTCAATACTCTTGAAAGGGATGTCATGCTTCATGAGGTGAGGGAGAATATCCCTGAGCTTTATCCTTTCCTCCACCAGGCATATCATATACCTTTTAACCTATATCTCGGCTCTGATTTAATCCTGGCCCCGTCGCCTTTAGCCTTGCCATTCACAAGGTGATCACTGAGCTCAAATCGCCCCTCAACATCTGATATTGCTTCTTTTGACGCTGTCATAAAAAATGCGCTTCAGACAATTTTAAATGTCTCCCTGAGTGGCAACCACTGGAAACAGGCATCTTTGCCAATCCGATACGGGGGTATTGGGGTGCGTTCTGTTAGAGGTGTGAGTCTGCCGGATTTCTTGGCGTCGTCCGATGGGGTTTCGGACCTTGTCGCTAATATTCTGTCTATGAATGGCGACAGGGTGACCGTACCCTTTGCGGCCGATGCTTTGGCAGCCTGGTTGGCTCTCGTCCCGGGCATGGCCGTACCTAAGAACCCCGAGTTCCAGCGCTCATGGGATGACGTTAATTGTAAAGCGACACTTGAACTGCTTACTGGTGGTGCCACAGGAGTCGATCTGGTGAGGATTTTGGCGGTGTCGCAGCCTGAATCCGGAGCATAGCTGCACGCGTTACCTTCGCCTCATATGGGCACTTTACTTGACGGTGACTCCTTGCAGGTGGCGGTCGCCCTCCGCTTGGACTGCGATGTATGTCAACTACATGTATGCATCTGCGGTACCATGGTGGGGGCCAACGGCCATCACGCATTGAGCTACCGTCGATGTACAGGCAGACACCCACGTCACCATGCTCTAAACAACATAGTGTTGAGAGGTCTTAGGTCGGCCGGCGTTCCTTCCGTCCTCGAACCACCAGGTCTCAGCCGCACAGACGGAAAACGGCCTGATGGTCTTACATTGGTGCCGTGGGAGGAGGGACGATGTTTATGTGGGACGCGACGTGTGTCAGCACTTTCGCCGCTACCCACATCGGCCGCACGACACGCACGGCTGGGGCGGCGGCTGAGTATCAGGCGACGGCGAAGCGCTTAAAATATTCCTCGTTGGGGCAAGGATACATTTTTGTGCCTTTGGCGGTGGAAACGGCGGATTGTTGGAGCGCAGAGGCCAAACAATTTGTGTGGGACCTGGACCGCCGACTCAGGTAAAAAGCTAATGACCTTCGCTTCGGGTCGTTTCTGGCACAAAGGCTGTCCATTGCTATCCAGCGTGGCAATGCTGTAAGCATAATGGGCACCTTTGCGCCACAAACAATACGGGGTGATATTTGAACCTGTTTGTATGTATTCTTGTAAATTATGTTAATTTTAGCTATTTAGCAATTAATTTATATTCAGTGTTATATATTATCACATTTATTATTTAATTCTTTTATTTAATATTGAATGAGAAATTATTATTTGTTTTATTATTGTACTATGTAATTGACATTTAAATATATTTAAGTATACATAATTTATTTTAATTGTTTTAGCATAAACGGAATGTATTTTTATATGATTTGAAATTGAATTTTGAAATTTTTTATTCGATTTGTTTTTGCAAAATTGTGATGTATTTCTATTTGATTTGAAATTTTCAAGAGAATTGAATTTTAATATTTTAATTCATTATAATGTATTTATATTCTAAAATTATGATCGACGTGTATTTTTTACGAAATTAATGATTATGATTACTTTGTCTCCCGAAAATTTAAGGTTTCTGTGGAATCCTCAATAAACTAATGTTTACGCGGACGAAGTCGCGGGCGGCTGCTAGTAGTTAAATAAACAAGACAAATATGCCTTTGTACCTACTACAACAGAACATATTGCTATTTTCTGGCTTTTTAAAATAATACCAACATAAACACCATAGCCAGATCGATAAGACTACATATTTTAGTAAGCGTGTTACATACATAATTTTATATTAACTCGACTTAAATTTCCCGTGTCTACGGAAATAACTTTCTTCTTCAATTTAAACTGCATGTCTAAATTCTCAGTACTCCTATCTCTTTACGGAATCAACGTTCTTTTATGGGTGACAGTGCATTGCACAAATAATAACGATTGCTTGGTGTCGCCTTGTCCAGGTACCATTAGGGCGAGAATTTATGACGCTTTATTCTAAGTAGAGGCGCCCCAGAAGCTCTATACCTACAATCAATATATATTTCATCTCTTTATCATTTTAATTTTAGCCACTAACCATATATTTGTCATTTAAGGAAGAAAACTTTTTGCAATACTTTATTTTCTTTTATCTACATCTATGCTTTAAAGCCGCTATTAATATTCTGAAGCTGTTAGCTTATTGCCAACATTAAAACATCCAGTCACATTATTTAAAAAAAACAGCTTTTCTTTTTAAATATATTTCATAATAACACTCCTTCGCTTTTTTAATCCTTTCTGTTAGAACCAAACAATGTTAATCCTTCACCTTCTGTGCCAAAGACATGCTCAGCAGGCAGCCACAATTTTCACTGCTGGATGCATGGTATTAAGAATTTCAAATATACTCGTAACATTGACATTCACGCGCACTTCACTACCAGAGCGCCGAAAGTTTTCATGAATTTTAAGTTCTTGGAACGCCCCATGGTTTCAGAATCCTTTATAGAGGATTCATATCATGGGTGTAGATAAAGTCTTGTATGCAAATGTTATTATTCGGCATTTAACCCTTGGTTTACCCGGTGACTTCATACATACACATTTTACCCGGTGGAGTCCCCAGGACTCCCAGGTTTTAAATCGTAAATATAATAGGAAATAAACCATTTTTTAAATGAAATGCTAGTTAAATTTGCTTTTTATGTATTTGGTTTTACATTATCTTAACTTTTTAGTTAAAATCATTCAATTACAGTCTTTTATTAAGGAACTTTTAGATAATCGCACTTTTTGTAACAAAATTATGAGACCTATCTTCTAATGTCAACATTTCAAAAACAAATCAATATTATAAAGTAATCTTCAAAGAAATATAACAAAAATTTAAACAATTCTTATAAAAAGTAAAAAAGAACATGGTTCGAACAAAAAAGAAAAAACGTGCAAGACCTTCTAGTCACGGTTGATGACACAGTTATTGCATACTTTTTTGTACAGCTGAGGCACACAGGCTTAGTACAACTATGGCAAATATATGAAGTCGTCTATATATGAAGTCAAGCATCTTCATCAAGGACGTTTATACAACTACGAGACGCCATTATATCAACTGAAAGTAAAAAAAATCACAGTTAAAAATACCGTACATAGACTAAAACTATAACATTGATACCCCGCTGGAGTCCCACGGACTCCACTAGCATGATTACTTACCGATAGAAGCCACGAACGGCAACGTCTGTTCTCCCCCGCACTTGGAGCGTCACTCCGTGAAGGTATTGGAACGCACAATTTTTAATTCCAAAAACTAACGATTTTATGAGCGCGGAAAGTTTTCAATGGAGTCCCAGGGACCTACCGGGTAAATTAAGGGTTAATCACTCATTTAAAACGTCATGTCATGAGGAGCTCGATGGCGCAAGTAGCGCGTCGGCTGCGATCGTTGAAGTTAAGCAACTTTCGCAGTGGTCGGTCATTGGAAGGGTGACCAAAAATTTACTATGTCGAGCTCCTCCGTGCTTCGGAAGGCACGTTAAGCCGTTGGTCCCGGCTACATCTGCAGTCGTCAGCACCCACCAATCCACACTGGGCCCGCGTGGTAGGTCATGGCCCAATCTCCCTATTCCATCCATAGGGAAGGCCTGTACCCCAGCAGTGGCGACATTAATAGGCTGATGATGATGATGAAACACTCATGTATTACTATTTTCCCACATTCGTGTTTTAATATTCCTTATTAAACAACAATTGCATAAATAACTATTAAAATAAGATCCGTTGATGGAACAGCTACAATCCATCTACTACTTACTCCAAACGATTTTGGGTACCTAAGTACGGACATGAATACTGAAATTCAAATTATCTGGTATATTTATTTACTAAGAAATTCATATATATATACAGGGTGAAATT